TTCAATGGTGTCATGTGCTGCCATAGTTTTCTTTTTGGTTTCTGTGTATCTCTTCATTTCTTTTTTTTTTCTTTTTTTTTTTGTGTCTCTTCAATCCGTTTGTCACGCATGTTTTCGTCTGGTGGTGTGGTGGGACGTCAAACATGGCTGTTGAAATCATTGATGAAAGCTGCTTAACGTAAGTTAAAGACGACAAATACATGCATAGGAGGCAATCATCCTTGAATCATTCCACCGAAGAGACGAGAGCAGCGGATACATGATAGAAAAAAAAGGTGCGCTAAAAGCGCGATGAATTTCTTGTGCAGCGAACTGCCATAATAAAAACACAATACACGTTGACTCCAACGACCGACACACTAAACAGCTGCACAAAACGCAATATACACGATTGGCATCAATCAAACCGCCGTTGTGCCACAGCCGACGCGCTATACATCTACGCAACCGACAACGATTCTGGCGAGTTCCGCCTCCAGCCCCACTCTAAACAGGTGCGCACTTCACAACGGTCCAACCACAACGAAGCCCATCACGACTAGTCACGTGTACATGCAGCCGCATTCACACAAGCATCCCCCCCCCAACCCCGCCCACCCTGCCCACCCCGCCGCCCCCTACGCGTCATCTTTTTCGTCGTCGTTGTTGTCATCATCGGGGGGGCCCGAACCCAACCAATCTAACTTCTTCGCATCCTCCGGCCCTGTTGTGCTCACGTCGTGCCTGAAACCAATGCCGTAGGGCGCCCATTGAGGGATGTAGTCGGGGTACTCTCCCAACGTGGCGTTCGCCTTCCCGAGCCTCTCTGTGACGACATTTACGGCGCGGACGACGAATCGTCGATGATCGAAGGAACGATGCATGGCCGCGACGAGTGTGGGTTTCGCCACGAGGCTCACAAAGTAGAAAGCTTCGTAGTGGCTGCGCGGATCATCTCCCGCTATGCGCATTATCCACATGGACGCCGCCAACAACAGCCTGAAGCAGTCAGCCACCCGACAAAGATGATCGTAGGAGATGAAATCCCCGTCGATGAGCGCACCCATTTGCACCGCCACGCGGAACGCATGCGCGACGCAGATTACAGTGGACTCCTGGTGCGCCGCCATGTCGTCGTCGTCCGATCTATCCTCGATATTCGCGTCGGCGAACCACAGTGGCAAGTCCATGGACAGATCTATCATGTGCGCGCAAACCGCCGGGCTGACGACGTTGCACCACTCCTCGATGTACCACATAGCACGCGCAATGTTCGTCGCTACGGACTCCAACGAGTACTGGAAAGCCACATTGTATCCCCTTGGGCGGTTCCCCGACTTGAATACCCAGTCGTGCAAGATGCGCAAAGCAATGTTCTCCACTTCCACCGCACGGGAGATCGCTTGTTGCAGCTGTGATTGGTCGGTGATCCTGGCTACCCTCGTGCTAGATTTGGGCTGTACGACGCTTCGAGGGATGGCAGGCGGTGGAAGTCCGCTGGCAATGGCGACAAAGCACTCTCTCGTTTCGTGAAGTCTTCGCCCCTCCCCCGTCGTCCAGAAAGCTTTGTCATCAACCCAAAGGACGGCACGATCGATGAGGTCTTTCGTCATCACTCCCCTCTGTACCCGGCTTGAACCGGCCTCGCAGCCCTCCCGATCAGTTTTCTTCTCGCCACGCGCATCCTCTCTCGTCGTCGCCACAACTGCTGCCTCCTCTCTCGCCGTCGCAACGGGGGGCCACAGTGCCTGAAGCACCCGCACCAGCAACACCTGTCGGCTCGCCCCCAACTTCGCGCACGTCGGCCATGACTTCCCCCCCCCAGCCGCGTTGGACGGACCCTCCGTCATCACCCGGGTTGCGCTGGCGTGGCTGAGACGGTGTGGCGGGCAGTCTACCCATGACTGGCCTTTCGTCTACCGCAGCACGTGCCACCACCGTCGTCGGTGGGGTCGCTATTGTACGAGTGCGCAGGTGACGTTTTTCCAAGGGCTCGTCATCATCGCCGCCAAGATCGACGATGGCAGCCTTCTCTGTCCGCCTTTCGCGGGCACGCAGTTGCTGCGCCTCGGGTGGAGGGGTTAGCATCCTCTTCGGAGCGCTGTGATCAGAGGAGCGTTGCCGACCGCTCTCCCATACTGCAGACGCGGTCGCCTCTGCCTGCTCTTCCTCCGTCGTGAAGTCTTCGTCGTAGTCCCCTCCCGCTGCTGCCGCCCAACCTTGCGCTCCACAAGGAGGCACCCTTGCGGACGCATCATCCAAACACACCCTCTTCGTCTTCGGGACATGCCGACGACCTCTTCCCTGCCCTTGGCTGTCGTCAGGGACTTCGTCGCGCTTCTTCCCACGGTGCTCCCTCACGTAGACATGCTTCATCGTGACCTCTGCAGACGAGCTTGGCGGTCCGATCGGATGAGCGGGAAATGCTTCGTCGACCGCCGTTTGCAGTCCCGCCGATCTGGCGAGAGAAATGTCTCCCGTGCTGCTGCGGCGTGACGCGGACGAATACTCGTACGACGCAGAAGAACTGTCCTCTGCGGGAAGAAGACGACGACGTACACGAGGTGGACAGAAGGACGACGACCCCGGCGAGAGTGCTCCGCTGAGAAAAGATTGGCGGCGAGAAGAATAGAAGAGCGACGGTGACAGTGTTCTGCGGCCACCAACGATTGACGACCGACGTCCACGTGCACGCTAGAAGGACGACGACTCCAGCGAAGATCGTCCACGTGACAAGATGGCTAGAATGGCGTCGGGCGGTCCTCCACGACACTGAAGATGTCCGCAGGGAGCAGGCGACATTTATCCGCGACGAGCAGGCAACATTTCTCCGCGGCGAGCAGGCTTGTACCACTCCCACGTCGTTGCAGTCGGTGTGCAGAAGGCACGACGGGCTTTTGTATTGGAGACACCCTCGTGAGGACGACATTCATGCGGGTTGGGAAGCGCACGACTGAAGTACTCTCTCGCAAATGGACCGCCCTTGACGTCGCTTCTATGTGGCGGGAAACGGCATCGTCGACGGTGGCACGTGCGACCGCCCTGCCTACACCTGGCATGTATTTTAGATCCTCCCCAAGCCGCGAAAAGACCCTTCGACGTCCCTAGCGACGCGCGTCAATGCACTCGCCAGGGACCAAAACTAAAGCAAAGCACCTTCTCCCCTGGCCACCCCATCGCGTCTACCCCTCCCAGCCACCGACCAAACCTCCCCCCCCCCCCCTTCCACTAGAAACCCCCTCGTCCACAATCCCGAAACCACACACACCCTTCCAGACGTTGCTGTCTGCTTGTCGATCTACGAAAAAGCAGACGATGCGTTGTCGTGGAAAAGCATGAGCAAAAAAAAAAAAAAACACATTACCCACACAACTGTGTGGACGACACCCGCACACACTCACTCACACACACACACATACACACACACACACACACACATACACACACACACACACACACACACACACACACACACACACACACACACACACACACACACCGTTCGCCTCGATAGAAGAATACGTAAACGAAAAAAAAAAAAAAAAACCAACTACGAACGCATTGACTGGACTTGAATGAGCCCTACATCGGCGACCGACCACGGATGGTGGCAACGATCTCCATAAGCGCGTGGCACATCATCCTCTGCGTCTCATCGGACGCCGCATAGTGCACTTTTTGGACTGCAACTTCCTGCTCGAGTATGTCGCATTGCCTCGTGAATATGCCGCATTGCCGCTTGCTAGACGATTCGATCGTCGACGACATCAGTTCCCCATGGCGGTCCATGACATCAGCGATCGACTCCAACGCCTGTTCACGCGCATTCTTCTGCTTCCCGCCTCCAACCCCACTGCCTGCGTTGTTGTCGGAGTCCCTCACAGAAGAACGTCCTTCAGGGAAGCCTTCACCACCGGACTCACTACCAACAGACTCCCCACCACCCACTCGCGCCTGGGCAGCTGCACCCCGTCCGGACTTCCGGTGTCGGCGACGTTGGGAGGGAAAATTGTGTGGTTGCCCACCATGCCTGCGTGGATCTCGTTGTACAACACCCTCTCCATTCGGAACTTGAAGTTGTGCTCCTTCCTTTCTTCATTCGATAGCCTGAAGAAATCTGGCTGGCCGCTCGCATTCAAAAACCTCTGTATCTTCTTGTAGTTTTGGAAGAGATTGTCCCACTTCTTCATGCAGTCGTTCGCGTCTCTAGGCCCCCCCACGTTCCCCATGCGCTTCGCAATGTTGTCCCACTTCCACTCCTTGGTCCGCATCCGACCGTAATTGTGACCCAGCCCGGCGAGGTGCATGTCTTGCTCCCGCTTGCATCTCACCAGGAGCATTTGGTCTTCCGGAGACCTGTACGTCGCAGACTTCCCACCGTCGTCGCTGGCGCCACCTTTGCCGCCACGGCCAACGGATCGACCACGAACAACACCTCGGCTGCGTCCTCTCCCCCTCCCACCCGTCTTCCTCGGAGGCCGAATACGAATGTCGTCGTCGTCGTCCCCTGCTTCCACGTCCTCCATCAATCGTTCGTCGGCGTCGTCACCGCCACCACCATCGTCGTCGCCGCCATCAATGTGTGCCCGCATGTTTGACACTCCTCATGTGATGTTCTCCACAGTGGGTCATGGACGCATCGGTGGTCTGCAGGCACCCTCGTCCCTGAGCTCGGGTTGGGTCAGCGTTGTGCGGTTCAACATCGAAGGACGTGCACCGCCGATGCGCAGGGACCCGGCTGCGACTCCATTGCGTGCGGGGCAGGTACTTCTCAATCGATCGACGGACGGTGCAGTCAATCCATGGTGCCGGGCTACTGCCGAAAGCTCGACCACGCTCGTAACGGATGCACCGCCACGAAGTGTGGACTGCTCTGTATGTTGACTTCCAGCATGTTGAACGCCACGTGGCAAAGGATCGGCGTCGACGATAGCGCCGCCAGATCACAACTCGAACTTGAGATCAACTCCTCCGTCATCGTCGTTTCCCAAGCCTTGGTGGAGCTGTGAGGTGAACTCGCCCCCTTCGTTGCTAGCCGACCCGCCTGCTCGCACCGTTTGCGACAACAACTGCGTCGACCAGCTGGCAAGAGGCAACGTTGGAAGTTCTTCTGTCTCCGGGTCCTCGTCCGACGGGGGCAGCGGCGTCTCCCAGGACTCGAGATGGCTGTACAAAGATGGGTCGTACCGCCGTGGAGGCTCCGCAGTCGGAGGTCGTCTTCCGCCCTGACCTGCACCAACACTTGCGCGTGCCTGCATGCCCGCCATCGGACGTTCCCCTGCCGCCCGTTTCGTCGATGCTCGCCTCTTGCGATGTTGTTTCCACGACAGTCACGACAAACACACGTGGAGGAAAACGACAATCAGGAACACGACGACATCGAGTTCCAACAGAGGCAATCTCCTCGGCACGCCAGCCATCAAATTCACCTCGGGAGCCACCCTCGCACGCAACTACTGCAGACGACTGTTCGGACATGTCGGGGGATAGGGCCGCTCGACCTTCATAGGCCGACAACCAGCAACGAAGACGACAAAGGCGCCTGCCTGCGATTCAAAAAATCGACCGTTGCCGCTCGCGCACCGCCTGAAGCGCCTCCGTATGTCATCCCGCGCACGTCGTCGTCCTCCTCCGCTACCCGCAACCGAGCCAACGGTCCACTACGGACGTCAGCCCGCCCACGGTCGCCCCCCCGCGCTCCACAATGTCAGCCAACGGCTACCGCTGGCGGCCGTTGCTGGCCTCGACCGCAGAAAACCTCCGATGTCCGACCACCCACCAGACGGACCGCTTCTGGACCAGCAACCCCGTGTCGACGGTGCCATGCGCACGACGCAACGACTCCGTGAAACGCGAAAATCCTAAATCCTTTAGGACACGTCCTAACGTCGTTTTCACATTTTCGATCTCAAAATTGGATTTAGGATTGCATGCAACCAAGATGCAATCCTAAAAACAGGCACTTTTAGGAGTGTCTAACGAGACCCTTAATCTGTGAGTTTTGGGAACTTCCATTGCCACCTGTACCTCTTCACCTTTACCAACAGGGCGTCAGATAGATGAGTTAAGGATTGGTACTATTATCTGTATGGTGGCCTGAACCGGCTGTATTTTCTGCCTATTCAACTCACATGTTATTCCCTATTCCGAACCAAGAGGTGGGGACTAGCACACTTAAGGGGAGTGGAAATGGGTCAGGGAATTCTGCGAGGGGTCTCAGGGGGATTGAGGGATCAATCAAGCACCTGTCTTCAAAAAACAGCTTGTAATTCCTTTTGATAACTCCTTCCTCTTCTGGTCAGTTCTCCTTAAAGCTTCTGTGCAGAACTAATCAAAGATAAAGGTAGACTACATGTATACAGTTTGTGTAGGTGCTGTTGATACCGCTTGACTAGTATTCAAGGTAACTCGCCGGACATCAATTATTTTATTTATTTTTAGAATCGGACAGACGCATGCTGCGGTAGGCCCCAAAGAGGACATTAGTGCAGACAGCACCTGCCTAGCCTATGAGCGAATCAGACGATGGGGAGGATAGATTTGACGAAAGGAGGCACACACGACGGGATACCGGAAAGATACCCGTTGTGTTCCAGGTTCTACTACCAGGAGACGAGAGAAGGCTTAGGGCCGAGACAAGAGCCCGCAATCTAGAGACTGCGAGACAGGCAGCAGCAGCGACTGAACGCTCGTTAGCAGCACCAACAACTAGTGCGGTAACAATGGCTACCTCTTCAGCCACTTCTGCTGCTGGTCAGAGTTTGGGTATGCCACCCAACTCGACCAGTTCACAATCCATCTCCAGTACAACAGGAGCTGACACTAGTCAGATGGCGGGTTCGCAATTCAGCTCGCCACCTCCACGCACCCGGGAGCAGATGAAGCTCCAACAAGTAGAGAGGATTCGCTTAAGGCTAGAGGAGGAACTCAGACAGGCTACTAAAAGAGAGAAAGAGATTAAAGACAAAAATGTCAGACTAGAGGGTAGGGAGGCAGACAAGGTTGCACTAGAGGGGTTAGATGATTCGACCCTTAGTAATAATGAAAAGATTCTTAAGGCGAGCATCCTGTCCATGCATGCATACATGGACAGTAAACTGGGTACCATCCAGGACACCTTGGACCAGATCCTGAATGCCATGAACAGGCCAGGAATCAGGCCAGCAGTCTTGTCGTCACTGCCATTCTCAGTGACGACAGGCCCCTATGCCGCTCAGTCTGGACCACCGCCAAGTGGTACATCAGTAGCAGCCCTATCTCAAACTGTTGCTTCTTCATCTTCCAGTCCAGCGACTGGTGCCACACCACAACCGCCACCTGTCTCGCCAGCGGGACATCAATTTCCTTGGTATCCCAAGACCCCTTTGAAACCACCTCCAACCTTCTCAGGAGACAAGAAGGACGAGGCTCTCGACACGTGGTTGAGAACGGTGTCAGTGTGGGTGAGGGCAAATAGGACATTGGTAGAGGAGGAAGTGATTACTGCTGCATCCTACTTAGAGGGTTCGGCAACTCGCTGGCTAAATGGATTGATAGCTTCAAAGGGGTTCGGCAGGAACATGGGTGATTGGGCGCAGACCCACACCCTAGAAAGCTTTATGAACTTAGTGGAAGCAAGGTGGCACAATCCTCAGCAGACACAATTGTCACTGATGGATTATTAAAGCTTAATGCTAGGAAGCACAAGTCAGTGCGCGAGCTTACCACAACTGTAGAGCGCCTCATCGTTGTCCCATGAGTGGAGTACAATCCACAGATCTTGTTGACCATGTTCTTGAGATGTCTTCCCACAAACATCAAGAACTTATTGGTCAGTGAGGCTCGTAGAGAGTATCACACCTTTGAGACATTCAGCAAGAAGACCCTAGACTTAGAGGCTACGTTGGGTAGTGCTCAAACCCCTTCTACGAACGGGAGAAAGAAGAAGACTCCACAATAATGGAAGAAGAAGGGTAGTTGATTGATGATGGTTGATTCCGAAGGGAATCAAACTGAAATCGATGATGTTTCTGAACTTGTGGAGGGTGCAGAGTTAGATGGCGAGGAGAGTGCTGAGGGTAGCAACCTCGCCGCAATAGTTAAGACTAAGGAAGCAGGCCGCAAAGGAGTCAGAGGCAGGCCGCTAACCCAAACAAGATAGCTGCTTGGGTTAGAGCAGGCTTGGAGCAGGAAGTGTGGCGAAATCGTTGGTCGCGAGGTGCTTGCATTAACTGTGGCGAGTACGGCCATACACAGTTTAAATGCAAGAACCTGAAGGTCTCGTAGAAGATCCCTCCTAAGGGTGGGTTCCCCTCTTTTCAGTTTGGGGCCTCTACGAGCTCCACTTAGGGCCGGTAGAAGATGTAGCTGCTTCTACTCTAGTTGAAGCAGGTGATGTGTTTCAAGACTTAGCCGAAGCTATTGACTCCTTAGTCACCCCGCAGATGCATCCGGACCTAACTATACTCTGTACGTTGGATGCGTCTGAAGCCTTAGAGGACCTTCAATGTGAGTGGTCGGCAAGGGACCCTCGTGAGTCCTGGGTGGTACTGAGTAGAGGTCCTAGAGGGGAGCACTTCGTTGTGGAAGTCGGTGTGAGTGGTCGCAAGTGCGGTGCCTTCATCGACATTGACTCCACCCGAAACTTCATAAGTTGCGACTGTCTTCACAGACTGTGCCTAAAGGACTGGGTGCAGCGCCTTAGTAGATCGGTAGCATCTACTTGGCCAACAAAGAGCGCATGATGGTAGAGGACTACATTAAAGATGTAGTCTGCACCTTATCCTACCAGGAGGAGAGATAAATCATAAAATATCATTCCTGGTGAGCGACGAGTTGCCCTTTGACATGTTGTTGGGCATGTACTACCTCGAGGTTGCTGAACCCCAGTTTGACTGCGACAAGAAGTCGTAAAGCACGAGTTGCCTAGTGGGAGAACCGTTAGACTGGCTAAGTACAAAGCCAAGAGGTTAATAAACTCCTATGGGTGCTTCTGCACATCAACTTTCTTTAATTATTATAACCAGAACCGAGAGGAAGAAATGTACTTAGTCTATGTCTCTGCGAAAGGGGAGGCCGTTAAAACACCCCCAGAGATAGAGATCATCGTCACTAAGTACCCTGATCTGTTCGAGGTGCCCTCAGGAGTCATAGACAGGGAGGTTGTCCATGCCATAGAGATCATTCCAGGTAGCAAGACACCTAAAGGGAGAATCTATAGAATGGCTTCGACCGAGTTGGACGAGCTTCGTCGGCAACTGAAAAAACTCACAGAAAATGGTTGGATATGGCTTAGCACTTCCCCTGTTGGCTTACCAGTCCTGTTTGTTCCATAGAAACGCATCGACGACCTATTGGATAGGGTGCAGGGATGTAAGTATTATACAAAGATAGACTTAAAATCTGACTACCATCAAATTGCCATTAGACTAGAGGACCAGCACAAAACCGCATTTCAGACCAGGTATGATTTGTACGAGTTTGTAGTGATGCCCTTTGGCCTTTGCAATGCGCCGAGTACATTCCAACACGCCATGAATAGGATCTTCCATGACTACTTAGATAAGTTCGTTGTCCTGTAGCTCGACGATATACTCATCTTTAGTATGACTGTCGATGAGCATGCTTAACATGTAGACAAAGTACTTTCTCTCCTCCGACAACACAAGTATAAGAT